TCAGGATAGGCTCAAAGGTCCACAGTGAAACCATGTTTCACAAAACAAAAAAATAAATAAATAAATCTGAATATTATGGTATTCCAGCAGCAAGAATGGAGTGTAAAGTTTCTTAGGATCAGTTCCCTCCTGAGAACAAAAGTTCCTGGAAGAAGAGCAGCTTACTCTGAACCTTCTGCAAGTCTAACTACCTATTAGAATTTCTGTAATAGTGGAGAGCCTGGGACACTGCAGCTCAGAGCTCAACCACACTTTATCTTGGGATATCTTCATCCCCTATGGTAGACATTCACAGACCAGCCCTGTGCCTGACCTCACATCCTGTTACTGGCTGGTGGCTTGGAAATGTACTCAAAAAACAATGGATGGCACCAAGTTAGGGGCTTCCATTGTAACCAGATGGTAGCTCAGGCCCATAGCACAGATTTTCCCACTGGGTTGCAATCTGCAGACTTATATCCTCCAATGTATTTCAAAATGGGTTGGGTCTTGACTATTCTTTATTCCAGTATTACAAAAACATGACAAGATAATGGCCACGTTGGAACATGGAATTCGGGTTACCCGAATTTGAGATCAACGTCTAAGGTCACTCAAATGTGGGTGCAGAATAAACTAGAGCATGTCTCCTGGGAGATGACAGTTGTGTTTCTGTATGGAGTGGTTTCACTATTAACCTAAGTGGAAGAGTTAGGGAGTAGCTTCTATTCTTTATCTTGTTACAGAACTTCCCTTTAAAAATGAATTAGACATCAGAATCCTGATGGCTAGGGTTGTAAGTATCTGTTTATTGTAATGTATATTTTCTACATTCTGAGTCTTATTTCCCGCATATTTGTTCACCTTCTGGGAATATGATATTCCTTTACTGTTAGCAGGGATCAGCTCAGACTTATGGCCCTGCTTTCCACTGTGAGGATTAGCATTAGCTTCCCTCAGCTATGAACTCCAAGTGCATCCACATCTGATCTTGACAGCAAACTCTGGAGTAGCCCTGTCCCTGGGACAGTGACTGAGTCATGAGCAGATAATGCAAATATCCCTGGGTGAGACCATACTTGAAGGAACTAACTGGTCAGATTTCCTGTTAAAAAGCTCCCACCAGCCGAGCGGTGGAGTCGCATGCCTTTAATCCCAGCACTCGGGAGGCAGAGGCAGTTGGATCTCTGTGAGTTCGAGGCCAGCCTGGTCTACAAGAGCTAGTTCCAGGACAGGAACCCAAAGCTAAGGAGAAAACCTGTCTCGAAAAATAAATAAATAAATAAATAAATAAATAAATAAATAAATAAAGCTCCAACCAACTCAGTTGACAGCTTCTCTCCTTCTCAAATGTGTCTTCTTCACTTGGTCGCCTATCTTGTTAGATCTTGGGTCAGGACTTTTGCTTTTGCCGTGTTCAATTCAGACCAGGGCACAATATTCTGAGTTGAGAGGTGGAGGAGAGAAGCAAATTTCTCACCCTGATCTGCCCTGTCCTAGAGAATGTGGAGAAGCTGGGGAAAGATGTTCACTGAAGTCGACTTGTTTAGACAGGAAGACCTTGTGCCTGAATGCCTGTGACAGATGGGTGGAACACCAGGGGCTCCAGGTGCAATCTAGGCAGCTGCAGGACAGAGCTTCTCTACTGACAAAGGTGACTCTCTGGCTTCCCCAACCTCTTGCCTCAGGCCCTGCTTTCTGATTCGAGGGAGAGCACACACCTCACCTCTCTGAGAACATGGAACTGAAATGACCAAATGAGGATGCCTGACCATTGCTTGCAGTCTAGGAGGAGTGAGGCTGATATTAAAGACAACAGTCAACTGCCTGGAAGGTGGATACAGAAATAAAGATGCCGTGATTACCCAGTTGTGCCCCCCTCCCGTCTCATGAAAGAAAACCTAGTTTGATAACTTCCTTTGCACCATTCTGATAAAAGAAATTAGTAAATGGGAGGGAACTGAATGCTGAACAAACCAAGAAGTCTTTTTTCATTAAGAATGATTAAGGAGACCATATCATGGCTTGTACCTCTGGCACAAGCCTTCCATCCCATTAGATTCCAGACCAGCTCCTGAAAACCAGGCCCACATCACTGGTGGAAATTTCCCATTCTACAGAGTCCAGGCCAGCACCCTGAGCATTTGGTAAGTTCTTCCCAACTCTTCTGGTGTCTTCCCAATTTAACCCCAACTCTTGGTACCATATCCTAGCCCAGAACTTTGGCAGAAACCTCTTCTTCTACTAGAGGCCAGGCCAGCATCCTGAATCCCTGGTAAGACTGCCCCCCATTATGCCCATTCTTGAGAACCACATTCCAATTGCCTCTCCTCTCTTTCTCACCATATCCAGGCCCACTCCTCTGGTGGAAGGCTTCCACCCCATCAAAAGTCAGGCCAGCTTCTTGGGAACCAGGTAAGCCACCCCCATTTCCCTATTGATAAGTGCCCAACATCACTCCTACTGTCCCTTAATCCTCGTTACACCACCTGGCTCAATCCTCAGGTGGAAGCCCCTATTTCACCAGACGCCAGGCCAGCATCCTCAATAAGACTGCTCCTGATATTGTCTAATCCTGCCCTTCCTGGCACTTATTGTTCCTCCTCTGATCACCAACATCCCTGTTCGCACCTAGGGAGGAAGCCTTCCTTTCCATCAGAGGCCAGGCCAGAATTCTGATAATGAATTATCCTTTGGCTTACTGCTGAAAGTCTCTCTCTCTCTCTCTCTCTCTCTCTCTCTCTCTCTCTCTCTCTGTGTGTGTGTGTGTGTGTGTGTGTGTGTGTGAGTGTTTGTGTGTACAGATATAGATATTAAGGAGAGTAAGGACTCAAAAGAAGAAGGCCTTATTTTCCCAGAAACAGGAGATAATCTCTGGAGGAAAGCCAACTGGAAATCAGAGCTCACCTCTGTGACTTCTTTAGTCACCTCTGCTTGAGCCAGTGAAGCTTCTTGTGTTAGACCAGAAATAATAAGGAAAATGGTGTTCCTTACACATGCTAGACCTACAGGACAAGAAGCCGTCTGGTGGGCACTACATTCCTCGAGAACCACTACAGAGAAGGATTTCCAACTTTCTTGTCTTCACATACCAGACCATGTGGGCGGCAGAGACCAAGGCTCTCACCTGCCTCTCCCCGACACATCACCAAGTGGTACCTGATAGAGCCAGCTGAATCTCAGAAGTTCACTTTTCAGGTCAGAGGAGCTGTACACACCCACGGATTTCTGCTGTTCTCAACCCTGGCCAAAAGGCTGCTTTTGCAGTGGGTCGTGGTGAATGCAGAGTCTCTTCCCTGGTCAAACTGCATGTGTTTATCATTCACCCGTCCTGCCTGCCCCAGGGAGTTAATTTCCCTCTGTGGATTCCGCCTTTAGGCCAGATACTATTTCTTCATACAGGTATCTATAAAGAAAAGCCTTAGCCATGAAGCACACTATTGTTACATCTGACTATATTAGTACCAAGATTTTCTCCTGTTAACACAATACAGTACACAGCAGGTAAAATTCAAGCAACAAGGCCCTGAAGGTAATACTGTGTCTACACACAGGACTGCAGTTTAAATTAGATCAGCAGTCACAAAATGGGAACCAGAACCTATGCAGCTTAAGGAGTCCAGTTTGTACCAGGCCTTGCACAGAAGAGAGTACTAAACTGAGCACCGATCACCTTCAGATGGGAAAATTCTTTGGATGTTTGGTGTACCTGATGCAAAAGGGTTTCTGTGTTACTAGTGGAAAGGACACTTGCAACAGAATAGAGGCTGGGACATTCTGAGATCCTGTCTCTGATAGCAACACCCCCTCCCCGTGACAAGAGCCCAGTTTGTCACTTTGTAAAGCTGGTGCTGTGCACAGTCACAGAGTAGACAGGCTTCTGATGAAGACACAAAAATGCTCATGATAACAATAAAACCAGGGGAAAGACCCTCTCTGTGCGTTTACTGTAGAATGGTGGGACACGGTCACCGTGCCCTAAGCCCATGGTTGAGTGCAAGTTAATGATGGCGAGGATTTACAGTATATGGCCTTGAGAGGGTACGTGGATGGGCCTGGCACATAAAATACAACGCAGAAGAAGCGATCCACAAATAGAAACATGTGGTATGGTTTCTACTCTATAGCTCCATATAAACTGCATTGTTTATGGAATTGCACCCTACAGCATTCCAAGCAGGGAGATCTGAGGAGCTGCCTGGACTTTCCAGATTCCACTATCAATTGCTTCAACTGCCAGGTTCCACAACTGTAGGTGGAAGGGTGCCAGTCAGTTTTGGCCCCATTTCTTCTCCTGACTCCTGCCCCAGAAGGACAAAAGACCAACTATGTGAAAAACTTAGACCCAGGACATGGCTCACAGGAACCAATTTCGAGGAGTGTATGTGTGCGCTTGTAGCAGGCATCTACTCAGAAATGGTGTGTGTGTGTGTGTGTGTGTGTGTGTGTGTGTGTGTGTGTGTGCGTGCGTGTGTTTGTGTGTGTGTATGTCTGTTTGTGTGCGTTTGTTGCGGACACCTTCTCAAATGATGTGAGTGAGAGTGTGTTGTTTGTGTGTGCTTGGAGTGGGCATCTCCTCGGAACTGGTGTGAGTGAATGTCTCTCTGTGTGTGTGTGTGTGTGTGCTTGGAGTAGGCATCTCCAGCAGAAGTGGTAGCAGCCTTAAGGTAGTCCATTTCCTGCAGGTAATACAGTTTATCCTGTCCGAAGTTTTCTCCTAGGCAGTGCACAACTTCCAAGGCAGGAGAAGATCCAGGGAAGAGGCTGAGCTCCGGGAGGGGCCACAGGACGCTGATCTGCTGCCCACTGGGAGGTAGGGGTTCAGGTCGCCCTCCCTGGCTGGGTGTGTGGGAGCCTCAGCAGTCTCCTGGAGGAACTGTCATTCTCCCTGCACTTGGGAAGACCTCGGTTACTTTGTAAGCCAAGTGTGGAAGTTATTTCCCCGCGCCAGACTCTGCCTCTGGGCCGTCTCTGGTGCTCCAGAGACATGGTACCAGAATATTTAAATCAGTGTGGCGTTAAATACGTTTTAATATCTGATAGGGCCAGTTTCTGCGCATTGCACTTTTTTTCCTTTCAGGAACGTGTTCGGGCCCGCGGCAGGGGGCGGGGTCGCGCCTCCGCCTCGGCTCTGGTTCCAGCCTAGCCTCACCAAGGCAGAGATGGAAATCCCGAGGCTGCTCCCGGCTCGCGGGACACCACAGGGCGGCGGCGGCGGCGGCTGCTGCCCCGCGGGTGGCGGCGGGGTGCCCGGAGCCCCGGACTCTCTGGCTTGTCAGGCCCCCACGCGCCGCCTCCTCCTGCTCCGGGGGGCCCAAGATGGCGGGCCGGGGCCGCGGAGCGCAGAGGCCCAGAGGGCCTCACGGGGCCTGGGCCCGAGCCCTAGCGCGAACCGCTTGGCGCCGAGGCCGGATCCCCGGAGCCGCGGCGGCGGCGGCGGCGGAGGAGGAGGAGGCAGAGGCGGCGGCGGCGACGACTTCTTCCTGTTGCTGCTCGACCCGGTGGGTGGCGACGTAGAAACGGCGGGCGCGGAGCAGGCCGGAGGGCCGGTGCGGAGGGAGGAGGCCGGGACAGGCCCGGGGCCAGAGCGGCGTGCGAGCGGCGTGGCGAACCCCGCGGGCCGGCCCGAGCCGGGGCTCCGGCGCCCGTCGGCCGCGCCGGCTCCGTCGCCGCTCCCCGCGGCGGGCCCGAGCCCGGGCCCCGGCCCCGCGGCGGCCTTCGCGGGCACCATCACCATCCACAACCAGGACTTGCTGCTGAGCTTTGAGAACGGCTTCCTCACCCTGACCACGCCCCCGCTGCCCGCCTGGGAGCCAGGGGTCGCGCCGGTCCCGCAGCCGCAACCCGGGGTCCCCGGCGGCCCCGGCGGCCCGGACGGCCCGCAGGCCGGCTGCCCGCCCGCCGCCGCGGCAGCCGCCGCTGCCGCCGCGGCAGCCGCCGCTGCCGCCGCGGCCGCCGGCTCCTCGCAGCTGGGCGACTGCCCCGAGCTGCCACCCGACGTCCTGCTGGCCGAGCCGGCGGAACCCGCGCCCGCGCTGGCGCCTCCGGAGGAGGAGGCCGAGGCCCCGGCCGCCGCCCAGAGCCCCCGCGGGCCTCTCGGCCCGGGCCAGAGCCAGGGCCCGGGCCCGGGCGTGCTGCTCTACCTGTGCCCGGAGGCGCAGTGCGGCCAGACCTTCGCCAAGAAGCACCAGCTGAAGGTGCACCTGCTGACGCACAGCAGCAGCCAGGGCCAGCGGCCCTTCAAGTGCCCCCTGGGCGGCTGCGGCTGGACCTTCACCACCTCCTACAAGCTCAAGAGGCACCTGCAGTCGCACGACAAGCTGCGGCCATTCGGCTGCCCGGTGGAGGGCTGCGGCAAGAGCTTCACCACCGTGTACAACCTCAAGGCGCACATGAAGGGGCACGAGCAGGAGAACTCCTTCAAGTGCGAGGTGTGCGAGGAGAGCTTCCCCACGCAGGCCAAGCTCAGCAGCCACCAGCGCAGCCACTTCGAGCCCGAGCGGCCTTACCAGTGCGCCTTCTCCGGCTGCAAGAAGACCTTCATTACCGTGAGTGCCCTGTTCTCTCACAACCGCGCCCATTTCAGGGAACAGGAACTCTTCGCCTGCTCCTTCCCAGGCTGCAGCAAGCAGTACGACAAGGCTTGCCGCCTCAAGATTCACCTGCGGAGCCACACGGGAGAGCGGCCTTTCCTTTGCGACTTTGACGGCTGTGGCTGGAACTTCACCAGCATGTCCAAACTCCTGCGACACAAGAGGAAGCACGAAGACGACCGCAGGTTCACCTGTCCCGTGGAGGGCTGCGGCAAGTCCTTCACCAGGGCCGAACACCTCAAGGGCCACAGCATCACCCACCTGGGCACGAAGCCCTTCGTGTGCCCCGTCGAAGGCTGCTGTGCCAGGTTCTCTGCCCGCAGCAGCCTCTACATCCACTCCAAGAAGCACTTGCAGGACGTGGGCACCTGGAAGAACCGATGCCCGGTCTCCACCTGCAACAAACTCTTCACGTCCAAGCACAGCATGAAGACCCACATGGCCAAGAGGCACAAGCTCAGCCAGGACCTCTTGGGCCAGCTCGAAGCCACCAACTCTCTCACGCCCAGCAGTGAACTGGCCAGCCAGGGGCAGAGCGATCTCAGCAGCCCCGAGCTGGTGTCTCTCTTCTCGGATGTGCCCGGCCACAGTTCTGCCGCGGCGCTGGACACGGCCCTGGTCAACTCTGGCATCTTGACTATTGACATGGCCTCTGTGAACTCCACTCTCGCAGGAGGTCTCCCTGCCGAGAACAGTAACCATTCCTTAGGGCCAGCGGCGGACCCCCGGGCCCAGAGGGCCCCCAGTGACCTTCCCCAGGGACTGGATACCTCTCTCTTCTTCGGAACCTCGGTGGCCGCTTATCAGCAGAACCCCTTAGACATGGACGATGTCCCCGGGGGAAGCGTGGGGGGGCTCTTTGGCTCCCTGGCCCTGAAAAACTCAAGCCTGGAGCCCCAAGCTTTGACACCCAGCAATAAGTTAACCGTGGACACGGAAGCTCTGACTCCCTCCAGCAAGCTTTGTGAAAACAGTGTCTCAGAACTGCTGACCCCTGCCAAAGCCGACTGGAACGTGCATCCCGACTCTGACTTCTTTGCGCACGAGGAAGAGACCCAGTTTGGATTCTCCAACCCAATGGGAAGCCACGGTTCTCAGAAAGAAACAGATCTCATCACAATGACTGGCACCCCGTTTTTGGTATGAACCTACTCTGCCCTGCCTGCCCAGCCTTGCCCTGCCCTGCCCTGCCCTGCCCTGTCGTGCCCTGCCGTGCGGCTCACTTTTATCACACTCTGGTCTGAGGCCGTTCTGGAAGGAGTGCTTCTGTGCAGTCGTTTCTTGCTGCTTTGCAGAGGAACGCGTCTGTGGACTACAAATTTAGAGATTTACATTCTCATCCTGGGCCTGGAACTCATGAGTTCTGTGACCTTCAGCAAGTCTCCCAACCTAGCTGAGCCTTACTTCATTATTTATAAAAGTATCATTTTGTGTAGATTGTTTCTACTTCCTTTTCTTTGTATTCCTTTGATGTAATTTTTAGGGTATTTTTTAGTGGTTACCTTTGATTCTAATGTGATGAAAAGGGCTATGATCCCTTTGAACATTAAATGGTCAGTGCTAGGTGAACTGGTGTTTTTAAGTTTTAATATAAATAATACCTCATTTTCACAACATACATAATAGTAGTAGAATGTAAAAATACAGAGTATTATTTGGTTCTTTGTCAGTTTTCTTGTGTTGCCTAGAAATTGGAAGTTTTATTTTCTTTTTTGAAAAATGTCAGGGTTTTGCTATATTATAAGCATAGCTTAAAACATTGCCTAGTTACCATTGAAAAAGTGGCCTTATATTAGTGATTTCGTCTTGCTGAGCCTTACTTTCCGAGCTTTATAGTCGTTGTGAAAATGCACATTGTTCTCATGGATTTGAATCAGTTTTATGCTTGGGATTGTTACTGGGGGGTGGGGATATCATGTTTTCACTTTTGTCAGTCTTCAGTTTTCTTCTCCCCCTATTTCACCTCTTTAAGTCTTAGACAACAAAAGTTAACAAAAAGTTAACAAATGTTTATGTCATAGTTTTGCATCCAGTAAAAGTTTATGAGCATTAAGCAAACATGGGAATTTGTTCCTTCCACAGATGGTGGAGGACTTTCTCTACAGTGTTCTTAGTTAACATTGGTCACAGTTCCATTTGTCCAGTACTAGTGTCTGCTCTGAATCAGTGCCAGCTCTCAGCCTGGTTCTACTAGTCTAATAAAATTGGAGAACGGACCAGAAGGAGATGTTCATTTCTCTACCGGGGCCTTCATTCCTAGCCCTCTCTGGAATGGCAGGCTTGCTGTGCATTCTGAAATACTGTCAATTTTAACACGACTGTAGCATTGTATAATTTATATAGAAATTTAATATCTAATATATTTGATTGTTATAATCGTGATGAGAAAGCGTGACCTTCAACTGATAGTAAACCTTTCCTGGCCTATGACAGATGGAGTTCACTTAGTAACTATTATTTGTGTTTCAAGTAAGAGGACATATTTCTACCTCTCCCATTCTGCTCTCTTGAGTTCCATCGTCATTTTGTTTAGGAGCAATTCTTTTATTCCTCCTAAGTAAATACTTCTACCCTTATGCTGTTCTGCTTCACTCCTTACTGTCATTCTTGCTATGTGCACCAGTGTGTGCCATGCTCCTACCTTTTTCTCTAATTCGACACTTATTTTGGTCACCTTTTTCTTACATGATCTAATTTTCATCACAATAATTTCTGCAGCCAGTGTGTGCACTGAGAAGGTATTTCTGAATCCAGATTGCAAGCGTGTCTACAGGAGTCAGGTGATAATGGGGTTCTTTCTTTCTGGAAAGTCTAATGACAAGGACCTCTCTAAATTTGTTCACCATGTTTTCTACTAGCAAATAGCCATTGTGAAATACTCCAATTCAATACTGTTTTCATGAGACTACTTGAGGAAAACAGTTTTACAGTACCTTGGTAATATATAATTTGCCACTTTGAAATGCATTATGTACTTTCTTTATAATTTTTAAATTGATTGAACCTTTTGAGTGAAAAGGTAAAAAGTATACATTAATTTGTAATTTAAAGAAGTATTCAGAATTTTAGTGTGCCCAAGCATCAAGAATATTATTCCCTTAGCACTTTGAAAAGACTGTAAAGACTATTTTAGAAATGCTTTTCATGACTTAAAACAAACATTTCTCATTTTATTTGGAAGGACTGCAAAGGCCTGAGGTAAACATACACTTCATAAGCATTTATTAAGATATATAACCATAAAGATATTTTAAAGTGTCATTTAAATTCTTTTACATTTCTTCACTTACAGACTATAATATTCTTACCTATGGTCTGTAGAATTTCCAAAGGATAAATTTTAATTTCTCGATGATAAGAATCATGTTATTATTATGCTTTCTCAGCCTGATGGTGGAATGACTGGAATTGCAGTCAGAAATGTGACTGCAAACATAATGGCTGTACTTCTGTTTTTAACATAAATTTGACATTTTAAAAATGATGAGTCATGAGTTAATCTCCTTTGCCTTTTGTGTTTTTCATCCTTTCTTGATTAATTAAAACTTGCCAATTAATTGTGTTAATAACCATGTCTTATAGGAAGGTTGTTTTCAAAGGGTCCTGTTGAACGATTTGATCATATAAAATATGTTAAGCTTGATACGTTGCCATGTATTTCATTATAATATTAAATAATTCAAAGTCTTGAGTAGTAGAAATAAAATTTGATAGATTGTCAGGTCATCTTTCAGAAAATGCTTCATATTTTCATCTAGAAAAGAAAAGGACTTAGCATAACGGTGTATTTAGAATATTATCTCTCTGGAGCAATTCATAATCCTTTAGTATTAAACATATACACATGAGTATATAATAATGCAAAAACATATGTACCTCACTCAAAATATGCCATAATTGAAATGTAAAACTGGATTAAATTGTATATGTATATTGCTTTTGAAAAGTACAGGATTTTTTCCTTCCACTTTTGTTTTTTTTTTTTTTTTTCGAGACAGTGTTTCTCTGTAGCTTTGGAGCCTGTCCTGGAACTAGCTCTTGTAGACCAGGCTGGCCTCGAACTCATAGATATCTGCCTGTCTCTGTCTCCCAAGTGCTGGGATTAAAAGTGTATACCACCACCGCCTGGCTCCTGTTACTTTTTTTTTTTTTAAAGGGAGAAAGGGTTCGCTTTTGCTCACAGTTCCATGGTATTATCCACCATACTGGAGAAGTTAAGCAGCAAAAACTTGAGGGATCTGATCACAGCACATATGTAATCAGGAACAGAACAAGGAATGAGTGAGGGCTTACTCATGATTTCTCCACTTCCACAGTTCAAGATCCCCTTCTCAGGGATTGGTATCCCCATCCAAAATGAAGATGGAACTTCTACATCAGTTAACCTAATCAACAAAATCCCCCAAAGGATCCCAGAGCCCATCCTCCTGGTGATCCTATATTCTGTCAAGTTGAGTGCCAGTACTTACCATTACAGGATGGCATTCCACAAAGGTTGGGGATAAAAGATGTTATGCCCATGCTGCTTTCTGATGTACAGAGTTCTCATGGATATTGAGAACTTGTTATTATTATCCTCATTTTACAACTGAAAAATATGAAATGCTAAGAAGTTTATGGGATTTTCAAAACATAATTGTTACAAGTGGTTAGGTTTGTTGTAGTTGCAAAATGCTTCCAGAATCCAATCTGATGATGGGTCTAAGCACAATACACTATTGTGGTGTTATGGTTGCTAGAGACCTAGAAATGTTAGTTTCTCCAAATCTGATTTTATGTACAGGAATAGAGTGTTTATTTGATTGTAAATTACCCCTGAAATTGTTCTAAAACTATTTGCAATCATGGATATAGATGGCCTATAACAATATTTCAAAACTTTCCAGATCTGTTCAGTGATCCAGAAAGCTATTTTAAGAATACACATCCTAGCCCTTAAAAGCATAAAATATTCTTATTTGTATGGAAAACTAAGACTAAGACTGATAATGAGTATTTTAATTGCTCATGAGATAGCTGGAATTATCTACTATAAATATCTTATAAACAAAAATGTAATTATTTTCCTCAACCCACTGTCATTTTTCAGTGTAAATTTTGTATTGCAATTATATATAATTCAATTTTCAAATTATTAATTTTATTTTTGAGATTATAATTATATAATTTTTTCTTTATGATGAATTTAACTCTGTGAAACTGTGATTCTTTGCATGTCTAAAACACATGATGGTCTAATAATGAGCTGAATGGCCAATAGCAAGGCAGGGGAAAGGACAGGCAGTACTGGCAGGCACAGTATAAATAGGAGAAATCTGGGAAGGAGAAGCAAGAAAACAAGGAGAAGAGGGTGTCAGGGGTCAATTCCACCGCCAGCCACAGAGTAAGAGGAAAAGTAAGATACACAGAAGTAAGAAAAGGAAAAAAAACAGAGGGATAGCCAGTTTGGATGTTCACCTTCCTAGATATGGACGGAGGTGGGAGGTCCTAGGTCTTACCACAGGGCAGAAAACCCTGACTGCTCTTTGGACTGGAGAGGGAGGGGGAAAGGAGTGGGGGGAGGGGGAGAAGGGTGGGAGGAGGGGGCGTAGGGGGGGAGGAGGGGGAGGGAAATGGGAGGCTGGGAGGAGGTGGAAACTTGTTCTTTTTTTTCTCCTTTTCTCAATAAAGAAAGAAAAAAAAAGAAAAGCTGATTAGAAACAAGCCATGCTAAGACTGGGCATTTATAAAAAAAGAATAAGACTCTGTGGTGATTTATTTGGGAGCTGGGTGGTGGGCCTCCCAAAAAACCCAAAAGAATAAAGACAGCTTAAGAGTAAAAAAAAAAAAATCAATAAAACTCCTTGTTCTCCATTTTTTACTGGATTATTTGTTCTTTTGATGACCAATTTCTTGAGTTCTTTGTATATTTTGAGATTAGATCTCTGTCTGATGTGGAGTTAGTGAAGTTCTTTTCCCATTCTGTAGGCTGTTGTTTTGTCTTGTTGACCATGTCCTTTGCTTTATAGAATCTTTTCAGTTTCAAGAGATCCCATTTATTAATTGTTTCTCTCAGTGTCTGTGCTGCTGGGATTATATTTAGGAAGTGTTTCCCTGTACCAATGTGTACAAGTGTACTTTCCACTTTCTCTTCTATAAGGTTCAGTGCGGCTGGCTTTATGTTGAGGTCTTTGATCCATTTGGACGAGTTTTGTGCATGGTGATAGATATGGGTCTATTTTCATTCTTCTACATGTTGATATCAAGTTATGCCAGCACCATTTGTTAAATATGCTTTCTCTTTTCTGTTTGATATTTTTTGCTTCTTTGTCAAAAATCAGGTGTTTGAAGGTGTGTGGATTAATATCCAGGTCCTTACACAATGGAGTACTACACAGCAGAAAAAAATAATGACATCCTCAATTTTTCAGGCAAATGGATGGAGCTAGAAAACATCATTTTGAGTGCGGTAACCCAGATCCAGAAAGACAATTATCACATGTACTCACACATAAGTGGTTTTTAAACATAAAGCAAAGAAAACCAGCCCACAAATTACAATCTCAGAGAACCTAGACAACAATGAGGACCCTAAGAGAGACATGCATAGATCTAATCTACATGGGAAGGAGAAAAAGACAAAATCTCCTGAGTAAATTGGGAGCATGGGGACCTTGGGAGAGGGTTGAAGGGAAGGGGAGAGGTAGGGAGAGGAGTAGAGAAAAATGTAGAGCTCAACAAAAATAAAAAATGAAAACCTTTTTGGGTTACAGCCCCATTTTTGAATGGGTCATTTGGGTTTTGTTTATTCTTTTGTTTTTGTTTTTGACTCTATAGTTTTAAGTAAAGATAAAATAATTCCTAGAGTCCTCATCAAACAACCTTGGTATTATTTGCCCCTTGACTTTACTTCTTCTGTACAGACCCCTCATCTGGAACCCTCTTCCTATTTTTTCATTTTTCACCTTATGTGAACGCAATAACAATTTAAACTTGGAATCCTATTGTATATTTCAGAAGCATTACGAAAAAGCAAAAGCACTAACCCCTGGTGTCATTTACTCAAGAGTGGGCCTGCTTTGTTCAGAAGAATTCTAATCTCTCCTCTGATCTGATCTCTCAAATAAAGGTCATTCTTTCTGTTAAACAGCACAGCGAATGTGCTATTGAAAAGGAATGATGAACTTTTGTCCAAATCAGTCTTTTACAAGGATCTCACCGGGGGGGAAGTTAGTTC